GAAAAAAAAACCTGCAAAACGCATCAAAAACACAACACTTATGCAGGTTGCGTTCGAGACGTTTCTGCACTGCGTTTTTGATGCGTTTTGTGGTTTTTTTTTTTTTACAATTTTTACAAATTTTTCTTGTTGCTAGGCAGATTTAAAACACAAAACGCATCAAAAACGAAGCAAAAATGCATCAAAAGCGCAGGAAAAACGCAATACATGCTTTCTGCGGCGTTTCCATTGAAGTCTATACAACCAAAAACGCATCACCGATGCAGGTTGTGTTCAACCCGTTTCTGCATTGCGTTTTTGATGCGTTTAGCGGGAATTTTTTTCCATTTTTTTTTAAAATTTTTCTTGTTGCTAGGCAGATTTAAAATGCAAAACGCATCAAAAACGCGGCAAACGCATCAAAAATCAATACGTGCTTTTCTGCAGCGTTTCCATTGAAGTCTACACAACATTTTTGCCGCGTTTTTGATGCGTTTTGTGTTTTTTTGAATCTGCCTAGCAACAAGAAAAAATTTTAAAAATCGAAAAAACACCCCACAAAATGCATAAAAAAAAAACGCAACGCAGAGACGGCTCGAACGCAACCTGCATAGGTGTTGCGTTTTTGGTTGTATAGACTTCAATGGAAACGCTGCAGGAAAGCATGGAGTGTTTTTGCTGCGCTTATGATGCGTTTGTGCCGCGTTTTTGATGCGTTTTTGCTGCGTTTTTGATGCGTTTTGTGTTTTAAATCTGCCTAGCAACAAAGAAAAAATTTAAAAAAAAACAAAAACCCTGCAAAACAGAAAAGCAAGTATTGAGTTTTTGATGCGTTGTTGCTGCGCTTTTGATGCGTTTGTGCCGCGTTTTTGATGCGTTTTTGCCGCGTTTTTGATGCGTTTTGTGTTTTAAATCTGCCTAGCAACAAGAAAAAATTAAAAAAAAAAAAAACCCTGCAAAACAGAAAAGCAAGTATTGAGTTTTTGATGCGTTGTTGCTGCGCTTTTGATGCGTTTGTGCCGCGTTTTTTATACGTTTTTGCCGCGTTTTTGTGTTTAAAATCTGCCTAGCAACAAGAAAAAAGGAAAAAAAAACCTTGCAAAACAGAAAAGCAGGTATTGAGTTTTTGATGCGTTGTTGCTGCGCTTTTGATGCGTTTTCGCCACATTTTGATGCAGTTTTGATCATACGGTGCCATTCCAAAAGAAGCGCGATTGCGGCAAAACAGGTGTTTTTAAAAATAATCCCACTAAGCTGGTCGCCGAAAAAGAGGAGCGGGGGCTTCGTTGGGGTGACAAACGCACCGGGGGCAGCCCATTGAAGGGAGCGGACTGGCCTAGGAGCGACGCATGGGAAGGAGTGAGAATCGCGCTTTGAAAATTGCACGTGTAAACGCTCATTTCCTGCGCGGCGATATCTGAAGGCGGCCTGAGAAATGCGACGCAGCCTTCATTGGAATGCATGTAGACAGGAAGTGGCTGTGAAGAGGCTGCAGGAGATCAGCCAGAAAGGATCTTCTTCCTCACCGCACTATATAGCCGAATGGCGGCGGCGGCGCGGTCGTCCAGTTCTGGGAGGACGTCATAGGACACAGCTGATCACATGACACAGTAAAGGGCCAATCACTGTGTAGATACATTTGCTGGTTGTCAGCAGAACTTTCCTCGCGTTGTCACAGAGTGGGGGGAGCGCGGCCGATGACCGGCAACTGTCAAAGGAGACATCTGCACTGATAATCAGTGCAGCCTATCAGTGCCCATCAGTGCAGCTTATCAGTGCCCATCAGTGCAGCCTATCAGTGCCCATCAGTGCAGCCTATCAGTGCAGCCTATCAGTGCCCATCAGTGCAGCCTATCAGTGCCCATCAGTGTTGCCTATCAGTGCCCATCAGTGCAGCCTATCAGTGCCCATCAGTGCAGCCTATCAGTGCCCATCAGTGTGTTGCCTATCAGTGCCCATCAGTGCAGCCTATCAGTGCCCATCAGTGCAGCCTATCAGTGCCCATCAGTGTTGCCTATCAGTGCCCATCACTGCAGCCTATCAGTGCCCTATCAGTGCAGCCTATCAGTGCCCATCAGTGCAGCCTATCAGTGCCCATCAGTGTTGCCTATCAGTGCCCATCAGTGCAGCCTATCAGTGCCCATCAGTGCAGCCTATCAGTGCCCATCAGTGTTGCCTATCAGTGCCCATCAGTGCAGCCTATCAGTGCCCATCAGTGTTGCCTATCAGTGCCCATCAGTGCAGCCTATCAGTGCCCATCAGTGCAGCCTATCAGTGCCCATCAGTGCAGCCTATCAGTGCCCATCAGTGTTGCCTATCAGTGCCCATCAGTGCAGCCTATCAGTGCCCATCAGTGTTGCCCTTATCAGTGCCCATCAGTGCAGCCCTATCAGTGCCCATCAGTGTTGCCTATCAGTGCCCATCAGTGCAGCCTATCAGTCCCATCAGTGTTGCCTATCAGTGCCCATCAGTGCAGCCTATCAGTGCCCATCAGTGTTGCCCTATCAGTGCCCATCAGTGCAGCCTATCAGTGCACATCAGTGCAGCCTATCAGTGCCCATCAGTGCAGCCTATCAGTGCCCATCAGTGCAGCCTATCAGTGCCCATAAGTGTTGCCTATCAGTGCCCATCAGTGCAGCCTATCAGTGCCCATCAGTGTTGCCTATCAGTGCCCATCAGTGTTGCCTATCAGTGCCCATCAGTGTTGCCTATCAGTGCCCATCAGTGCAGCCTATCAGTGCCCATCAGTGTTGCCTATCAGTGCCCATCAGTGCAGCCTATCAGTGCCCATCAGTGCAGCCTATCAGTGCCCATCAGTGCCGCCTATCAGTGCCCATCAGTGCCGCCTATCAGTGCCCATCAGTGCAGCCTCATCAACGCACATCAGTGAAGGAGAAGAATTACCTGTTTGCAAAATTTAAATGGAAACAAAGAAAAACTTTTTTATTTTCAAAATTTTTGGTCTTTTTTTGTTTATAGCGCAAAAAAATATACAACCCCCCCCATCCCCTCCCCCCCCCATCCCCCCCCCCATCCCCCCCCCATCCCCCCCCCCCCCCCCCCCCCCCATCCCCCAGAGGAGATTAAATATCACTGAAAGAAAGCTCTATCTGTGTGAAAAAAAAGATAAAATGTCATCTGGGTCCAGTGTTGCATGACCGCGCAATTGTCATTCAAAGTGTGATAGCGCTGAAAGCTGAAAATTGGCCTGGGGGGGGGGGGAGTGTCCGGTACTGAAGGGGTTACAGGTCCCTAGCTTCTGGCACTTGCAGCTCTTCATCCTCCAATCAGGTTGTATGTCTTCCTTCCCTCTCATGTCTCACTTTACCTTTCAGAATGTTCTCATTGCTCAACCAGAAGAAACCAGAAGCCCTTCACCGGTCTTCTCCCACCGCCTGTACATCCATGTACACCACATTGCCCCAAGCATCGGGCCCCGCCCTTTCCACACACATGACCTTTCATGGCCCCCCAGTCTTAGTCCGTAGGGTTCAATATTGAGTTGGCCCCGCCCTTTCCACGCACATGACCTTCAATGGCCCCCCCCCCAGTCTTAGTCCGTAGGGTTCAATATTGTGTTGGCCCCGCCCTTTCCACGCACATGACCTTTAATGACCCCCCCAGTCTTAGTCCGTAGGGTTCAATATTGAGTTGGCCCCGCCCTTTCCGCGCACATGACCTTTAATGGCCCCCAGTCTTAGTCCGTAGGGTTCAATATTGAGTTGGCCCCGCCCTTTCCACGCACATGACCTTTAATGACCCCCCCAGTCTTAGTCCGTAGGGTTCAATATTGAGTTGGCCCCGCCCTTTCCACGCACATGACCTTTAATGGCCTCCCCCCAGTCTTAGTCCGTAGGGTTCAATATTGAGTTGGCCCCGCCCTTTCCACACACATGGAATTTAATGGCCCCAGCACACATGAGGGTTTAATATTGAGTTGGCCCCGCCCTTTCCGCACGCCATGACCTTTAATGCCCCCCCCCAGTCTTAGTCCGTAGGGTTCAATATTGAGTTGGCCCCACCCTTCCCACACACATGACCTTTAATGGCCCCCCAGTCTTAGTCCGTAAGGGTTCAATATTGAGTTGGCCCCGCCCTTTCCATCCACATGACCTTTAATGGCCCCCCAGTATTAGTCCGTAAGGTTCAATATTGAGTTGGCCCCGCCCTTTCACACACATGACCTTTAATGGCCCCCCAGTCTTAGTCCGTAGGGTTCAATATTGAGTTGGCCCCGCCCTTTCCATGCACATGACCTTTAATGGCCCCCCAGTCTTAGTCCGTAGGGTTCAATATTGAGTTGGCCCCGCCCTTTCCACGCACATGACCTTTAATGGCCCCCCAGTCTTAGTCCGTAGGGTTCAATATTGAGTTGGCCCCGCCCTTTCCACACACATGACCTTTAATGGCCCCCCAGTCTTAGTCCATAGGGTTCAATATTGAGTTGGCCCCGCCCTTTGCGCTATAACAGCTTCAACTCTTCTGGGAAGGCCGTCCACAAGGTTTAGGAGGGTGTCTATGGGAAGGTTGGACCATTCTTCCAGAAGCACATTTGTCAGGTCAGGCACTGATGTCGGGGGAGGGGGCTGGCTCGCAGTCTCCGCTCTAATTCATCCCCAAAGGTGTTCTATGGGGTTGAGGTCAGGACTCTGTGCAGGACAGTCAAGTTCCTCCACCCCAAACTGGCTCCTCCATGTCTTTATGGACCTTGCTTTGTGCACTGGTGGGCAGTCATGTTGGAACAGGAAGGGGCCATCCCCAAACTCCTCCCCACAAAGTTGGGAGCATGAAATTGTCCAAAATGTTGCCTTAAGAGTTCCCTTCACTGGAACTAGGGGGCCAAGCCCAACCCCTGAAAAACACCCCCACACCATAATCCCCCCTCCACCAAACTTTACACTTGGCACAATGCAGTCAGGCAAGTACTGTTCTCCTGGCCACCGCCAAACCCAGACATGTCCATCAGATTGCCAGACAGAGAGTGTGTGATTGGTCCCTCCAGATAACACGTCTCCACTGCTCTAGAGTCCAGTGGCGGCGTGCTTTACACCACGGCATCCGACACTTTGCATTGCACTTGGTGATGGAAGGCTTGGATGCAGCTGCTCGGCCATGGAAACCCATTCCATGAAGCTCTCTACGCACTGTTGTTGGGCTCATCTGAAGGCCACACCAAGTTTGGAGGTCTTTAGCTATTGACTCTGCAGACAGTTGGCGACTTCTGCGCACTGTGCGCTTCAGCATGCGCTGACCCCGCCTGTCATGTGACGTGGCCTACCACTTGGTGGCTGAGTTGCTGTTGTTCCCAGTGGCTTCCACTTTGTTATAATCCCACTAACAGTTGAGCGTGGAATATTTAGTAGCCAGGAAATGTCACGGATGGACTTATTGCACAGGTGGCCACCTATCACGGGACCACGCTTGGAGCCACAGAGCTCCTGAGAGCGACCCATTCTTTCACCAATGTTTGTAGAAGCAGTCTGCATGCCTAGGGGCTTGATTGTATACACCTGTGTCCATGGAGGGGATTGGGACACCTGAATCACATGATATGGAGGGGATTGGAACACCTGAATCACATGATATGGAGGGGATTGGAACACCTGAATCCCATGATTGGGAGGGGATTGGAACACCTGAATCACATGATATGGAGGGGATTGGAACACCTGAATCACATGATATGGAGGGGATTGGAACACCTGAATCACATGATATGGAGGGGATTGGAGCACCTGAATCACATGATATGGAGGGGAATGGAACACCTGAATCACATGATATGGAGGGGATTGGAAACACCTGAATCACATGATTGGGGGGCGGGGACAATACTTTGGGCAATATATGTGACTGGAGGAGGTCGGATGAGGAGAACTCTCCAGTAAGAAGTTGGACCCGTCTCCATTATACTTCTCCAGGACAGTACAGAGGATGCTCTCCAGTCTCTTGAAAAAGGAGACGTGCGGGACTCTGCTCACTACTTCCCATGTGATTTCATATTGGAAGCAGGAGGAGTCATTTCCTCAGTCTCCTCCCCCAGTGATCAGACTGTACATTGTAAACTTTGTAGAAGGAGGAGGAGGCATTTCCTCAGTCTCCCCCCCCCAGTGATCAGACTGTACATTGTAACTTTGTAGAAGGAGGAGGAGTCATTTCCTCAGTTTCCCCTCCCCCAGTGATCAGACTGTACATTGTAACTTTGTAGAAGGGAGGAGTCATTTCCTCAGTTTCCCCTCCCCAGTGATCAGACTGTACATTGTAACTTTGTAGAAGGAGGAGGAGTCATTTCCTCAGTCTCCTCCCCCAGTGATCAGACTGTACATTGTAACTTTGTCATTTCCTCAGTTTCCCTCCCCCAGTCATCAGACTGTACATTGTACCTTTGTTGAGGAGGAGGAGTCATTTCCTCAGTCTCCTCCCCCCCAGTGATCAGACTGTACATTGTAACTTTGTAGAAGGAGGAGGAGGCATTTTCCACAGTCTCCCCTCCCCCAGTGATCAGACTGTACATTGTAACTTTGTAGAAGGAGGAGGAGTCATTTCCTCAGTTTCCCCTCCCCCAGTGATCAGACTGTACATTGTAACTTTGTAGAAGGAGGAGGAGTCATTTCCTCAGTCTCCTCCCCCAGTGATCAGACTGTACATTGTAACTTTGTAGAAGGAGGAGGAGTCATTTCCTCAGTTTCCCCTCCCCCAGTGATCAGACTGTACATTGTAACTTTGTAGAAGGAGGAGGAGTCATTTCCTCAGTCCCCTCCCCCAGTGATCAGACTGTACATTGTAACTTTGTAGAAGGAGGAGGAGTCATTTCCTCAGTCCCCTCCCCCAGTGATCAGACTGTACATTGTAACTTTGTAGAAGGAGGAGGAGTCATTTCCTCAGTCTCCCCTCCCCCAGTGATCAGACTGTACATTGTAACTTTGTAGAAGGAGGAGGAGTCATTTCCTCAGTTTCCCCTCCCCCAGTGATCAGACTGTACATTGTAACTTTGTAGAAGGAGGAGGAGTCATTTCCTCAGTCTCCCCCCCCCAGTGATCAGACTGTACATTGTAACTTTGTAGAAGGAGGAGGAGTCATTTCCTCAGTCTCCTCCCCCAGTGATCAGACTGTACATTGTAACTTTGTAGAAGGAGGAGGAGTCATTTCCTCAGTCTCCCCTCCCCCAGTGATCAGACTGTACATTGTAACTTTGTAGAAGGAGGAGGAGTCATTTCCTCAGTTTCCCCTCCCCCAGTGATCAGACTGTACATTGTAACTTTGTAGAAGGAGGAGGAGTCATTTCCTCAGTTTCCCCTCCCCCAGTGATCAGACTGTACATTGTAACTTTGTAGAAGGAGGAGGAGTCATTTCCTCAGTCTCCCTCCCCCAGTGATCAGACTGTACATTGTAACTTTGTAGAAGGAGGAGGAGTCATTTCCTCAGTTTCCCCTCCCCCAGTGATCAGACTGTACATTGTAACTTTGTAGAAGGAGGAGGAGTCATTTCCTCAGTCTCCCTCCCCCCAGTGATCAGACTGTACATTGTAACTTTGTAGAAGGAGGAGGAGTCATTTCCTCAGTCTCCTCCCCCAGTGATCAGACTGTACATTGTAACTTTGTAGAAGGAGGAGGAGGCATTTCCTCAGTCTCCCCTCCCCCAGTGATCAGACTGTACATTGTAACTTTGTAGAAGGAGGAGGAGTCATTTCCTCAGTTTCCCCTCCCCCAGTGATCAGACTGTACATTGTAACTTTGTAGAAGGAGGAGGAGTCATTTCCTCAGTTTCCCCTCCCCCAGTGATCAGACTGTACATTGTAACTTTGTAGAAGGAGGAGGAGTCATTATCTCAGTCTCCTCCCCCAGTGATCAGACTGTACATTGTAACTTTGTAGAAGGAGGAGGAGTCATTTCCTCAGTTTCCCCTCCCCCAGTCATCAGACTGTACATTGTACCTTTGTAGAAGGAGGAGGAGTCATTTCCTCAGTCTCCTCCCCCAGTGATCAGACTGTACATTGTAACTTTGTAGAAGGAGGAGGAGGCATTTCCACAGTCTCCCCTCCCCCAGTGATCAGACTGTACATTGTAACTTTGTAGAAGGAGGAGGAGTCATTTCCTCAGTTTCCCCTCCCCCAGTGATCAGACTGTACATTGTAACTTTGTAGAAGGAGGAGTCATTTCCTCATTTCCCCTCCCCCAGTGATCAGACTGTACATTGTAACTTTGTAGAAGGAGGAGGAGTCGTTTCTCAGTCTCCCCTCCCCCAGTGATCAGACTGTACATTGTAACTTTGTAGAAGGAGGAGGAGTCATTTTCCCTCAGTCTCCTCCCCCAGTGATCAGACTGTACATTGTAACTTTGTAGAAGGAGGAGGAGTCATTTCCTCAGTTTCCCCTCCCCCAGTGATCAGACTGTACATTGTACCTTTGTAGAAGGAGGAGGAGTCATTTCCTCAGTCTCCTCCCCCAGTGATCAGACTGTACATTATAATTTTATAGAAGGAGGAGGAGGCATGTCCTCAGTCTCCCCTCCCCCAGTGATCAGACTGTACATTGTAACTTTGTAGAAGGAGGAGGAGTCATTTCCTCAGTCTCCTCCCCCAGTGATCAGACTGTACATTGTACCTTTGTAGAAGGAGGAGGAGTCATTTCCTCAGTCTCATTCCCCCCCAGTGATCAGACTGTACATTATAATTTTATAGAAGGAGGAGGAGGCATGTCCTCAGTCTCCCCTCCCCCAGTGATCAGACTGTACATTGTAACTTTGTAGAAAGGAGGAGTCATTTCCTCAGTCTCCTCCCCCAGTGATCAGACTGTACATTGTAACTTTGTAGAAGGAGGAGGAGTCATTTCCTCAGTCCCCTCCCCCAGTAATCAGACTGTACATTGTAACTTTGTAGAAGGAGAGAGAGTCATTTCCTCATTCTCCCCTCCCCCGTGATCAGACTGTACATTGTAACTTTGTAGAAGGGGGAGGAGTCATTTCCTCGGTTTCCTCCCCCAGTGATCAGACTGTACATTGTAACTTTGTAGAAGGAGGAGTCATTTTCTCAGTCTCCTCCCCCAGTGATCAGACTGTACATTGTAACTTTGTAGAAGGAGGAGGAGTCATTACCTCAGTCTCCTCCCCCAGTGATCAGACTGTACATTGTAACTTTGCAGCAAGTCACAAGGTGTGAGGCATCAGCAGGGGCTGATCTGTGTCAGACATTTGTGAACACCACCAAGAACTGTTTCCTGAACAAAGATGGTGTCGTCTTTCTGGAGAGGGAGGTCGATGAAAGCGTTGTCAGGGTGAGGACAGTGATCATTGGGCCGGTAATGCATGTCAGCGGATTACTCCTCACCTCCGCGCTCTGTACAGCCGGGAGCCATCATGGAATTCCTCCACTGACCTACGGGAATCCTCTGATCTGCCTCCCAATGGAAATCCTACGAAAACGTCATTGAAGGCTATAAATATATCAAAAGAATACAAACCAGAAGAACATTATAAATTCCACGTCTTCCAGTCAGACATTTACTCTGATCTCAGCAGTGTGCGGGAGATGTTTTATGGATGATGTGGGCTTTCGCCTTTTTTTTGGACTAGTTCCTGACCACGGCTTGTCTCCTCCGATTCCTGGTGTGATGTAGACTAGTTCCTGACCACGGCTTGTCTCCTCCGATTCCTGGTGTGATGTAGACTAGTTCCTGACCACGGCTTGTCTCCTCCGATTCCTGGTGTGATGTAGACTAGTTCCTGACCACGGCTTGTCTCCTCCGATTCCTGGTGTGATGTGGACTAGTTCCTGACCACGGCTTGTCTCTCGATAATTCCTGGTGTGATGTAGACTAGTTCCTGACCACGGCTTGTCTCCTCCGATTCTTGGTGTGATGTAGACTAGTTCCTGACCACGGCTTCTCTCCTCTGATTCCTGGTGTGATGTAGACTAGTTCCTGACCAGGGCTTGTCTCCGATAATTCCTGGTGTGATGTAGACTAGTTCCTGACCACGGCTTGTCTCCTCTGATTCCTGGTGTGATGTAGACTAGTTCCTGACCACGGCTTGTCTGCTCTGATTCTTGGTGTGATGTAGACTAGTTCCTGACCACGGCTTGTCTCCACTGATTCCTGGTGTGATGTAGACTTGTTCCTGACCACGGCTTGTCTCCTCTGATTCCTGGTGTGATGTAGACTAGTTCCTGACCACGGCTTGTCTCCTCTGATTCCTGGTGTGATGTAGACTAGTTCCTGACCATGGCTTGTCTCCACTGATTCCTGGTGTGATGTAGACTAGTTCCTGACCACGGCTTGTCTCTTCCGATTCCTGGTGTGATGTAGACTAGTTCCTGACCACGGCTTGTCTCCTCCGATTCCTGGTGTGATGTAGACTAGTTCCTGACCACGGCTTGTCTCCTCCGATTCCTGGTGTGATGTAGACTAGTTCCTGACCACGGCTTGTCTCCTCCGATTCCTGGTGTGATGTGGACTAGTTCCTGACCACGGCTTGTCTCCGATAATTCCTGGTGTGATGTAGACTAGTTCCTGACCACGGCTTGTCTCCTCCGATTCCTGGTGTGATGTAGACTAGTTCCTGACCACGGCTTCTCTCCTCTGATTCCTGGTGTGATGTAGACTAGTTCCTGACCACGGCTTGTCTCCTCCGATTCCTGGTGTGATGTAGACTAGTTCCTGACCACGGCTTCTCTCCTCTGATTCCTGGTGTGATGTAGACTAGTTCCTGACCACGGCTTGTCTCCGATAATTCCTGGTGTGATGTAGACTAGTTCCTGACCACAGCTTGTCTCCCCTGATCCCTGGTGTGATGTAGACTAGTTCCTGACCACGGCTTGTCTCCTCTGATTCCTGGTGTGATGTAGACTAGTTCCTGACCACGGCTTGTCTCCTCCGATTCCTGGTGTGATGTAGACTAGTTCCTGACCACGGCTTGTCTCCTCCGATTCCTGGTGTGATGTAGACTAGTTCCTGACCACGGCTTGTCTCCTCCGATTCCTGGTGTGATGTAGACTAGTTCCTG